GACGAAATGTGAGTGGTTTTGTAGATGCCAGGAGGGAGCGGCCTTGGTGCACGCGTTGTGCCGTGCTCTTCCTCTGGGAGATTGGTGCAGACCCACAGAAACACCGCGTTACCCACATACCGGCGGACAACACACGGCAGTAGTCATTGTTTGATACTCCAATTGGTCCATTAATCTGTTGGTGCACAGTTGGTCGGCAGGTACTCTGTTCCGCTGATTTTGTTGCTTCCGGAAGGATGTTCGCGTCTTGACAACCACTCTCTGGCGGGCGTAAAACGACACCAATGTCGCTTCTCAAGCAGAGTTGCCCGGTCTTGAGGCTAGCTATGAGAACTAACCTGCTTGTTGCCGTTGCTTCAATACTCTTGGGATATCGGCTGCACGTCCAGTAGGCTGGCTTGCCGCAGACCCCATCAAAGATTTTGCCATATGCGCACTCCATGTAACAAACTTGATGCGAACCTCCTACAATATCCACATTTTTCCCTTACTGCCCACCCCCGATGTACAACCCGAACGTATTATCGTAACCTATGGTGTTCATCAGCGACGAGCACCCCTACGGCGGCGTTGTTGTCATCGACCCGGACCTTGTGCGTTCCGGAGGGTCTAGCAACGGGGGCGGTTCCGCGCGGTCTTCTATTCCACGGTCTTCCGTGGACGACGAGGTAACAAGAATGCAACAAACGCCAATAAGAAAAACGATGGCGTGGCAGTCATAGAGCCGGCACAAAGGCTTCTGTCCAAGGCTAGTGGATCACACGCGAGGGAGACGAGACAGAGGCTGTCCTTGCCGTCCAGGAGGGCTGAAACGGATAGAAGCTGTCATCCCGCTGCGGTTACTGGGACGGGAATTATTGTTGCATAGGGTAGGCGCCGTGCGGATAGTTTTCGGTCACGACTGCAACACGACAAGCCGCATTCCAACCGGTGCATGCATGCGGAACTGCTTAATACGAGTCACCTTGTTTGTTTGGATGGTGTTTCGTGTGTGTTTTAACTTTGAATCCGTTGTCCCTCTCCAAAGGCTCGCTCCGGCGGGCGTCGGTCGTGGACCGCAAGCCCACCTACGGCGGAGATGTCCACACAGACCACCCAAGGGGAGGAAGGTGTTGCCCACGTCCTGGTGCAGGCGGGAGACGGGAAGCTGCTGTCCGAGGCGGAGTTGCGGGAGGAGTACACCCAGCGAGAGCTAAGGGTGAGAGAGAGGGAGGGGGGGGTGCTACTCGCTCGAAAGTACGGTTTGTTGGGCCGCTGGACTCGTGTTGAACACTTGAGGGACGAAGGGGCGAGATGGGTGCGATCGCCCTGCTCATGTAGTGTCATGCTGAATTTGAAGCTGCAGCCCTCGCATCTATTTCAGTACCGACTTCTTGCACTCTTGCGGTTTCTGCATGAGCGGGCTGGTATTTGTTTCGTTTTGATGTGTTTTTCGGTTGTGATTTTTTGTCGTTGCTGCCGCTGTTGCTGCATTTGCTGCTCCAGCAAAGGTCGAACATGATGTGGACCACAAACCTCTATCGCGCTGACACGATGCCCACGAAAAACCAACCGTACGCCTACGTCTGTTCCTGCCCTGGCACCTTCCGTTGCTCGTAACGTGCCGGTGCGGACGGCAAACCTCTATCGCGCTGACACGATGCCCACGAAAAACCAACCGTACGCTTACGTCTGTTCCTACCCTGGCACCTTCCGTTGCTCGTAACGTGCCGCTGCTGCTGCTGTTATCGTAGGAGAGGTTGGAGATGATGAACCACGACCTCCTCGCCGAGGTGTTTCACCGGGAGATCGTCAAGCAGGAGGAGGCGCAGAAGCGCCGGAAGCAACTGGAGGCCCACGAGGCAGAGGTCCTGGCTCTAAGGGACGAGCTCCATGCCGTCCAGATGAGCCACAACAACGAGAAAATCAAGATGCGCTGGGAGCACGCCGACGAGGTAAGAGGAGGTGGCCTCTTTTTTTTTGTTACTTGCGTTTTCGTTGCTATTTTTGCTTGCGTCCTTCATCTTTGCAGCTTTTGTATTTTTTGGTGGTGACTTGGACTGCGCTTGC